ACGATTCTTTAGTGTTTCCACCACAAGTACGAAACTTTCGTCATCATTTAATATAACACCATTTGCGAATGCAATATTTCGTATCAATACTTCATTTTCCTTCTTAGCTGCATTATAACGTATAAGTCTGTAATTAATACAATTAACTTATGTATATAAATATATATATGGGCATATATTTATAGTATAAAACTGAATGATTTTAGAATTTGTATCTTTTTTTATTACCTTCCTGATGGATTTATTAGAAATGTCATTACTAAATCACAAATTGCGAAATGTGAGTTACTGTCACTCCAGTAAATGTCTCCATTTTTTGCGATATCTATGCTATTTGGCATCCGTGGAATTTTTCCATCAATTGGTTTAGTAATGTTCACTATATTTTTATACTCTCCGGTTGCAACGTTTACTTGGAAAATTCCGTAATAAGCGTCCGCTACATATAAATTGCCTTTCTTATCAAACTTTAATCCCAATGGTCTTCCACATTTGTGTTCTTGCCAAATGCCATCTGTAAATTTCATAAGAAAATACAATACCAATTTTATATATTTACCATTTTATTTATATACCATGTTATATATTTTGATATAATTAATTGTATTGATTTTACTTTAAAATTATTTATATTTGCTAATTCTGTATTATTTTATATACATATATGCACATCATGTTTTATTTACAAGTTAAGAAGTATTAATTTCATTCGAATGTTATGAATGAATAGTTTTGTTATTTGGTTTCTCATCTAATATAGAGTATAAAATCAGAGTCGTTAATATGGTGTTTTCAATAATATGATCAAAGTCAATATCATACATATACATAATGGCTCGTATTCAGAACGCGCTTTTATTGATAAAAGCATTTTTTTTATCTCTAAAATTTTATAGTATGCATAACGTAAATTATAGCACGTTAGCGTGTTAAGATCATTGTAAGCGCGTTCTGAATATGGGCCAATGTGTATAATTACATTTAATATAAGTCTATATTTAGCGAATGTGTGCAAAGTTGGTTTATATATTGTCCATATTGTCTGGAGACGCTATGTAAGTATAATATTATTTTAGTAATGTTAGTATTATGTAAGTATTATTTATCACATGAATCTACACAGTTTAATGAGATATACAGTTTAATGAGATGTATTACATGACAAGTAACTTTTTTCAAGTATCAGACGCCGAATTTTTTTATTCTTTGGATTTTGATTCAAGATACCAAAAAATGATTTTTTTATGCAAAAAATAGTTGCTCAACACTAACTATAGCTCATGCAGTGTTTTAATAATGGGATAAAATCTTCAGAGAGATAAATAACGCATTTTCTTCAAAAATATTTCGAACAAAAATTGCTTTTAAAAATATGTAAATAACAGTTTCTAAAGATATGTAAAGTAATATTTAAATACTTCGGAGAGATAAATAATATATTTCCTTCAAAAATATTTCGGAAAAAAGTTATTTGATTTTTAAAGATATGAATATGTAAATAATAATTTATGAAGATATGTAAAGTAGCGATCTTTATTTGACCTTGGAAGATTCTTGGAAAAAGGTCATGTCGGTGTCAATTAAATTTATGTATCATCTTTTGGTATCGTAAAATGCAGAAAATAAATTTACATGTTATTTGAAAAATTCAACACTTGTGAGATTTATTTTTTTATTAGAAATAAATTATTTCTGATTAATTAATTTCTAATAAATTATTTTCCCCTGCTTGTAACTTATCATTTCTAAAAAAATTTTTTTACGTTAAATGCCACTTGATATTAATAAAGCTTTGTTAACATACACTGTCAATATTGAACATTTATCTATAATAAATGTTATATAGTATAAATTTTCAGTACTGTTAATGTATATGAGAACGCTACTAAAATCATACTCAGTCCCGATATTTTCTTATCTATATATCTAATCATGCGTCAACAAAACAACTTTAATTAAAAAACTTTTACCGATCGATGATTATTTTGTTCTACTTCTTTATTCAAGTATAGGTGAGTCTTTAAGTCCATCCGTTGATTATAAATGATTTTATGTAGAAAAATTACAATGTTATATAAAATCATTTGATCAATAAAAATTACATTCAATGCGATCGCATACAATGCGATTAATCAGTGCTAAATCGATTTAGGCTCATTAAAATCACATATTGGAATTCTATTCTGAAAAATTCAAATGTTCCCAGCTCGCTCTCTCTCTCTCTCTCTCTCTCTCTCTCTCTCTCTGTGTGTGTGTGCGCGTGTGCGTGTGTGTGTGTGTGTGTGTGCGCGTGCGTGCGTGCGTGTGCGCGTGCGTATACAGAGAGAGAGAGAGAGAGAGAGAGAGAGAGAGAGAGAGAATGATCATATTTTATTAGAGAAAATAGAGGACAAATTTTAGGATTTTTAAAAATATCTAACTAATTTGTGACTATCAGAGTATGCATTAATTTCTGAAATTTTTTTGCACAATATATCTAAAATAAAGCTTATTCTACAATATGCTCTTTCTTTCCTATTTCTTGTTTTTTAGCTTTTGCTTTTTTCTCCTTTGCAATCATTTTATTGACAATTATATTTCCTGCTATGTATTTTTTGTTTCTTTCAAAGTTCATTAATTTTTATCTCGAGTGATATAAAACAAAAATCGGATAAAAAGCAAAAAGATAAGATGTAAAAATTATGACTTTGTTGTTTTACTTGGGCTAATATCATCTTTGTATAAAATTAAATTTCAATTATATAAACATTTGCTTGTTAGTGTGATTAGATATTGAAATGCTAATTAGAAAGAAAAGAAAATTTTCCTTAATAGATCTGTTTTTTATTGCACTCTGAACAGGTACAATAAGTTGAAATGAAACAAACATATATATATTTGTTTCATTTCAACTTATTGCACTGTGTGTATTAGTTCAGAAAGCACGATAATGCAGCACAATAAAAAAAATAGACCTATTATTATTAAAATGAAGAGCAAAATTAAGTTTTGAGAAAAATAAATCAATTTAAAAGACAGTTACTGAAACAAAGCACTATCCTTCATAAGAAAGAATTGTATGGTCACCAAACAATTTATGTAACTTACCACATTTCTCGCCAAACTTGACAATCGGCACAACGCGATCCTCCTCGATCCTGAGGACATAACCACCATGGACACCAGTGTAGATCTGTCCATTATAGGAATCCAAACTCTCTGGAGCATGGATTTCGTTAATGAACAGCTTCTGAATGCCGTTCAGCCGATTTTTCGGGCCTAGCTTAGGATCCAATTGACGCGGTGGATTTATGCTGCAAGGATCAAAGAGTCAAGATCGTAATGATCAGCCATGATTCAAACGAATTTTTTTTTTCTTGATTACGTCGTAATACCTGTATTCCACAAACTCTGTCTCTGGTGGTAGACCGGGCATGAACGTGATTACAGCTAGAATCAAGCCGATGTAGATGATGACGGTGCCGATCAACTTTAGGTAACCCATCTCGTCGGTACGCTTTCTTGAACTTTGAAGCCTTAGCCGCCTTGGGTACACTGGTACAATGTCAAGTATCTTTCAAGATGATATACTATTCCCTCCTTTCTTCTCACGAAAGAATATCGTGTTTCACAAATGCTGCGTTGTAAGATGACGTTATCACCTATCAGAATCTATCACGATTTGCTACGTTGGAATCTGACGTCTATATTGCAATCCGTTCGACGGCGGACGCTACACTCGCTGCAAGGAAAAATATTGGGGACATCGGAGACGAGCGGCCAATGCGATTGCAATTTAACTGTTCTTCGTGATATGCTAACGGCACCCTTGCCAATTCAATGGCGTTCACGAACACTAGCGAATATCCGCTTCTCCGTAATTCTTGCGTGACATTTATTTCCTGTTTTTGAAGAATTCAAAGCCTTAAAACATTTCGAAGGTCAAGTATTAAACAATCGTCACGCGGAAGAATAATCTATATTCATTTATTCATTTCTTATTAGAGGAAAAAATTTCTAGTCACGATGACACGCGTGAATGATTGCTCGAGCGAACCGGTCAATCGCATGCGCAATAGGTTTCAAGGTTTATTGCTTTTTGCACTTGAAACGAGATAAAAATATATTCGTTCGATGAAAAGAGAGAAAGCGAAAATATTAAGTGCAAAGATTATAAGCAACACGTACATTTTTTCATTCCGGTTCGCGATTAGCTGATTTCTCGGCATAAATTATGCAAATTCCCGTAAAGATCCGATTGTGTATTTTTGAAAGGAAAAAAGAATATATATATATATATATATCTTCACATTTTTAATTTCATATTTTCGCTCTAAGAAAAAAGTTACATGATTGATATCCTTTGAAATGAGATAAAAATAAATTCACTAGAATATTTATGATTTCACTGGTCGACACCTAGTAAATTTGCTTTGCTTTGTTAACAGATTTGTCGCGTTGCTTGCACTTTGCACTTTCTGCACTCGAAATTTTCGCATTTTCTCCTTTCAACCTTTTTGCCCGCGGCCTAAATTGTTTTTATCTTGTTTTAAGTGCATAAATTTATGTGTATTTAAGATAATATACCTATTTTCATCTCATTTTAAAATGCACAATTAACTTCCAATTATTTAGGAGAGTAAAGGAAAAAAAGCTGATATAAGATGCGATATAATAAAATATATAATATGTAAATTATGCAATAATATATTGATTTTGGTATACTTTTATTTAAAAAATGTCAGAATATAAATCCAAATAAATGTGCCAACTTCTTGCACTGGATTGTATATATTGTATTACAATATATTGTATTGTATCAAGTGCAGAAAGTGTAAAGCGGGGAGCACAGATTTTTGCATAACGCATAAAATATGAGGCATAAGAAAATCAAGCAATCAGAGTCCTTTATTTTACGGAAAGGAAAGAAATAAAGGATTTTTATTGGTTCATTTTTTTATGTCTCATGTGTTATGCATTATGCAAGAGTGCATAATCTCGCTTAACAATGTTACGAAGAACAGAAAATGTCCCTTTGATGGCGGGACGAGTGTCAACACTGTCAACCGTATTCTTCAAATCATCTCGACAGTTTTAACAGAGTTAACAGCGCTTGACGATTTTATTAATTCCAATGCTGTAAACGACCAATCTGATTCTCACAGTTAATCTAACGTACTTCCAGAAATTTTATGTACGTGCGCTTGTAAGAGTCAAACTAAAATTGAATCTCGGCGTGATGTAAATTTCACAACTCCTTTGAATCAGAAGATTCTTTATAAGAAGCGAAGCGTCATTTTTCTTTTTTAGAGTGCAATTTTCAGATAAAATATCTTATCATATATTCAAAAAAATACCTTATCACTTCACTTTTTATAAAGTAAAGTGTTTCAATTATATTACATGTATTGTAAGATGCTGTTGTTTGTTTTCTAAACAGGCATGAAGATCTCAGGGATGCGACATTAGATGTGAGGACCCAACTATATGTAGTATAGAAATGGGTAGGTGTTCCATGCTGTGTTTTATTATTGGAAACCTGGGCACCGATTTATAATCAATTTTTATATTTAAGATTGTCTTAAGTACAATAGTATAATCTTAAGATGTCAATCATAGATCAGTATTCATAGTTAATTCTTGTTTTAAGTTTGTGTTAAGTGTCTTAAAATGTTAATATGATTTTCTGATTGATTCGTAACATCCTAAAATTATCTTAAATGTAGTAATAAATAAATATATTTAAGACTTAAGACAATCTTAAATATATAAGAATCTATAAAATGTAAATACTGGCTATAGAGCTGCATTGGTATTTTAAGACACTATTTAAAACAGTTTGAAAACAAGAATATAAATTGAGCCTTGAATCCTTTTCCAAAAAAAATTATTCTAAATTGAAAATACTATGTACAGTTATCCATAATATTGTTTGTTCTGAATTTAGATGATCTTGAGCAACAATGCGAAGACGTGGTATTTGAGTTGTGTGACGCTAGAGAGAGATATCCATTACTGTGTGCAAAAGAGCTTGAGAAGCTCATCAAGCTTACCAATGAAATACATGTAAGTGCTCTTCACAGAACTGATAATTTTTATTTTACTTTCTATTTATCTGTATTTGTGATTTGTTACAGATGATGAAAGTTCTTGTAAAGCCAGCAAAAATTCTGGATGTTCCATCTTTCACAAACGAGCACTCAGCAATGCTTAAAAAGAATTTGTTGGAGACCACTGAATTATTGAAGACGCAAGAACATAAATTGCAAGTGATGATAGATAAAATTAATAACTTGACAGTAACTTTAGATCAGATTAAGAGAGACAAGTTGTCTGATATGAATAAGTTATTATGGGATTAGATGTATTTTTTCTCTCTCAATGTAATATCTCTCTATCTCTCATATTATACGTTTATCACTGTATATATTGTATATCAATTGTGTAAATATATATAAATATACAAGGTGTTTCAAAATTCGAGGATAATATATTGTAACATAAAACTTCATATAAAATTAAGTAATAAAGGTGTAAGACATTTTTTCCATAAAATTTTTTTTAAATATAATTTGAATATGAATTTGAAATTTGAATAATCATAAGTGATGGTTAAAAAATCATCTGTTGGTGTGACATGTGTGCAATGGTATTAGATATTAAACAAAACATAGTCGCTGTACGCACACTATCACAGTTATTTCTTTATTTCTGTAAAGAAATAACTAAATTTATATATATATATATATATATATATATATATATATATCTGCATTATAAATTATTAAGTCCAAAGGTGTGTATTAAATAAACAAAATTTGTATTTTATAAAATATGTAATTATTATGTGTGTGTGTGTGTGTGTGTGTGTGTGTGTGTGTATAGGAATTGAATTTAAAACTTGCATTACATTCTCTGTTGTTTCCTAGGCAACGGATCTAACTCATGTCAAAACAATGAAAGCACGCATGAATGCATATTGCATGCTGATAGCTACATGCAGTACACATATGTATACTACACCTATATCATGAAATAGTATTAATTAGCTGTTAAAGTTTCATAGTGCTTTATTATAATTTTCGCTATGTCTACGTTCATAGAAAATGTGCATATAAAGGATGGAGAATACACTAAGATAATATATGTAATGGTATACAAAATAAACAATTTTTTTAATAAATAAATTTAAAATTGAATAAATAAGAAACAAGATAGTTTTTAAATATTTTTGCCTGGTTGATTTTTATAATCTTCGAAAACGAAAAAATATAATTAAATACAAGTATAAACATAAAGAAATAAATAATAAAATATTATGTATATGTTCCAGATAAGAGAACAACGATATACTGAATGTATTAAAGTCTTGTTAAATCTTTTAGATTCTCATCCTAATGTACGTTGCAATGTGATATTGTGTTTTTCAATTTATATAAACGCTAATACTGAATGTTCTTATTACTGAAAATGTTCTTTCAGTCTAGACCTTGTTTATCCCTTCTGGCCCATTGTTATTTTTATACACAAGATTTCATGGCCGCAGCTCAATGTTACGAGAAGCTGGTTCAACTGTGCCCACAGGAGAATCTGTATAAGCTTTACTATGCCCAGTCTTTGCATCAAGCTTGCATGTACCCAGAAGCATGGACGATTTGTTCGAGCATTATCAATCAAAGTAACTTGGAATTCAAAGTAAAGAAACTGCAGGCAGCTATAAAGTATGGGCAGGAAGATATGGTAGCTGCAAAAAATCTCGTGGATCAATGTCCTGCTGATGATGTTGATACTGAAATCAATCTGGGATGTCTCTTGTACAAGGTATAGATATCAGTAATACTTTTCACTAAATACCAATAGTAATATAACACAATGTTATAATTTTACACTCAATACAATAACAATTATATGAATATAATATAACACATGCTATATATAACAGTTATTATTGACTTGGAAATAAAATTGATGTTATTACTCTTAGTTTACTATCAGTTGAGTGTTATTGATTGATGTATATGCACGATTATGTTTCTAGGAGGAAAAATACGAACAGGCCCTTAAAAAATTTTCGAACGCATTACAAATTGCAGGATTCAAGCCTCACTTATCATATAATGTTGCCCTTTGCTATTTCAAATTGAAAGAGTATGCAGCATCCCTGAAACATATTGCTACTATTATTGAGCATGGTATAAGAGAGCATCCAGAGTTGAGCGTAGGAATGGCTACCGAGGGTATTGAAGTTCGAAGTGTCGGGAATACGTTGACGCTGCACGAGACAGCTCTGACAGAAGCATTCAATCTGAAAGCTGCCATCGAGTACCAATTGCAAAATTGTAATTTCGCGTCACTGCCTTTTTAGAAAGTCTTTTTACAGTTTTGCTTAATATTACAGATGACGCGGCGAAGGAGGCGTTAACGGACATGCCACCGCGTTCGGAGGAGGAGCTCGACGCTGTTACTTTACACAATCAGGCATTAATAAATATGGACACAAAACCGAGTGAAGGATTCGAAAAACTGCAGTTTTTACTGCAGCAAAACCCGTTCCCACCCGAAACTTTCGCCAACTTGTTACTCCTGTACTGTAAATATCAGTATTATGATCTTGCCGCCGATGTTTTGGCTGAAAATGTACATTTGACTTACAAGTATTTGACGCCAGTAAGTTTAATTCTTAATCAGTCATTTTTATTAGTCAGACTTCAATTTGAGCATTTGAAACAATTTACAGCCTTATTATTTTATATACAAGCTATATGCAATACAAGGTATACTCAAATTAAATTATAACTAAACAAAAGTTAGGAACAATTATTATGAATGTTTGGTTTTCGAATGTTTGCATTTTTTGGTACGAGTTTCGTGATCGTCTGAGTGTTTCCGTTTGTGAGACTTTGCGTCGTCAGATGATGAGCTATCGGAGGAACCACTCGAACTGCTACTGTATTTCTTTCTATGCTTCTTGCGTTCTTTAGAAAATTTTTTTTTCTTTTTCTTGCTCCTCTCCTCTTCTGTATCACTGTCATCAGTAGATTGTTTGCTCCTCTTCGACTTTTTCTTCTTTTTTTTTGATTTATGCTTCTTCTCTATCTTTTTCTCAATGTTCTTACTGTCCAGTTCCGGGACAGTCTCTAAGTCTTCAATTTCTGGAATCAGTTCATATTTCTTGCCATCGGGAGACGTGAAACAATCCTTGGACAAATGTCCTCTGGTCCCGCATTTGGTACATGTAGTATTCAGTACCGCTTCCAATTGTATGACCTTGTGCTGAGTCGTTCCTGGATTTTTTCTCCGTTGCGTATCTCTTTGCAGTTCCACACCATTAGGATCCAAGTCTGTACCATTTCCCTGATTCACATGTTTCATAGACAGTCCTATCTTGCCATCTTCTCCAACCGAGATCACCTTACACCAGACCCGTTCACCCTTTTGCAAGACTTCTGCAACATTGTCGACATGAGCCGTGCTTACCTGACGAAAATTGCATAGAAATCAATGGATTAAGTTACAGCAGAGATTGTTATTAGTATTTATTATATGAGAGTCTAAGAATACACACCTGTGATCGGTGTATTAAACCTTGCTGCGAGGTACCTGGTATTCTGACAAACGCTCCGTAATTTTGCACGGACGCGATTTCACCCAGAAATATTTGATTCAGTTCGCATTTCGTCATCTTTAATTTCTCGTCGAAAGAATATCCCTGTGCGAATGATGACGTTTCAACAAGTGTAAAATCAATAAAAAGAAAAATTGCGCTATAGGTTAGATTTCTATCAACAAACATAGGGCCGTAATATCGATATGTCCGCAACAGGGGACATTCTTTATTATTTTTTAATGAGACAATTGAAGTTTTGGTTAAAGTATTTACAAATACATTAAAATTCATAGAACAATGCAACAAAGGTATATGGTATATAAAATGTATTAATAATAGATATTTTGCAAAAATGAAAATTCTTGGTTCTGATTACAATTTTTTACATGTGATATTCTAATATTTATTTAATTTAACATTCTATTTAATTTAGAAAATATCAAGGTAACAAAAATATAAAACGATGTTAACTTGTAACAGAAAATATATAAGTCCTTTCAAGAGCTAGATAGTAAAGTTTGCTGTTTTTCAAAAGAACCCAGCAAACGAGAATGAATTGAAATTTTTTTCTATCTGAAGGCGTATTTTAAATAGCGAATACTTTTTTTGGATTTAATTGAATTCAATTGGATGCAATTGGATTTAAAAACTGCATTTCTTATTCAAAATTTTGAATTGAACAGTATTCATAATGTGTGTGTTGTGCACAGAAAAAGTTAATATTATTTTTAGATTGAAAGGCGTAAAGATATGCTCCATGCAATTCCTATATAAATGAATAAAAATGTATTCAGGATAGAAAAGCATTCATTTTAACATTCGTGAATTAATATTTCTGAAAATCTGAATCCATTTCAATTCATTTCAATCCATTCTCGTTTGCTGGGATGTTTTACTTATTGGTAATATTATAATTATTTTTAAATTTGCATTATCTTTCCAGTATTTATACGACTTCTTGGACGCGCTAATAACGCAACAAACTTCGCCGGAGGAGGCATATCGCAAATTCGATGATCTCGCTAATAAGCATACGGAAGCGCTTCGCAAAGCGACCAAGCAGGTCCAGGAGGCGAGGCTGAATCATGACGATAATGCCGTGAAAAAAGCTGTGAACGATTATGAGGAGGCCCTCGATAGATACGTTCCCGTATTAATGGCACAGGCGAAGATCTACTGGGATCTGGAAAATTACACCCAGGTGGAAAAGATCTTCAAGAAAAGCGTCGAGTTCTGCAACGATAACGATGTGTGGAAGCTGAATGTGGCGCATACGCTCTTCATGCAGGAGAATAAATTTAAAGACTCGACACGTTTCTATGAACCGATCGTTAAGAAGAAATATGACAGTGTTAGTGAAGCGAAGACTATTTCTTCACATAAAACACAATCATAATAAGATCAAGTAGAAGTTATTTTGAAAAAAATATGATGTTATTTGGTATTTTTGATGATGATCTTATGATGAATTCTGATTTCTTTAATATTATGATTTTGTTTTTTTTTCTCTTTGCCATAATCTGCAGATCCTGACAGACGCTTGCAATCTATTTGCAGATCCTGGACGTGAGCGCTATAGTCCTTGCGAACCTTTGCGTCAGCTACATCATGACCTCGCAAAACGCAGAAGCCGAAGAGCTGATGAAGAAGATTGAGAAAGAGGAAGAGGCGGTATCGTTTGAAGATCAGGATAAGAAACTTTTTCACTTGTGCATCGTGAATCTAGTAATCGGGACACTGTACTGTTCCAAGGGTAATTTCGAGTTCGGCATATCGCGAGTAATGAAG